GTGACCTTCGCAGGCCAGCCCGGAGCCCTCGTCCGCCGGTCCCCGCCTTGCGCCCCGCGCCACCCCGCCCGACCTTCTCCCGAGTGCCCTCGGCCCCTGTTGGCCTGTGCGAGTGGACTCGGGGTCTCCCCTACCCGAACTTTGCATGTTCAGCTCCGCAGGCTCCGGGAGGGGGCGCTCCTGTCGTCCCCTCCGGACTGATCGGAGGGGACACAAGCCCTTAAACCGGGCGTTCAAGGCGTCCAGCAGCTCAGGGGCCCCCGGCTGCGTGGGGAGAGGGATTAGAGGGAGAATTAAACGGCATAATGCACGGGTAAATGTACGGCTTCCCCCCACGGCGGCACATTACGGATTGACAGATGCTTCCTGTCCCCATGCAGCTCCAGCGCGGTCCAAGTTCTACGTGCGAGACCCACCGAACCAGAACCCCGACTGGCTGAAAGTTGGGCTGACCTTGGGCACCTCGGTGTTCCTGTGGCTCTACGTGAGTACTCCACCGCCCTGTGCCCAGAGCCCCCTGAGGCCGAATGTCGCTTTTATATTTTATGGGAGCACAACTCCTTTACAGTAGGGTTTTTACATAATTGCTAATAACCTGTTTCTCCATAAAGGACATCCCAAGGACTAGAAAGAAATTCATATTTCCACAGCATCCCTAGAGTCATAAGGCTGAAATTTCTTTTCTTTCTTTCTTTTTTTTGGGGGGGGGGGAGAGGTTTTTGCTATAGGGCGTGTGCGCTGGCCAGATCAGATAGACAGAGAGAGACAGACAGAAAGTGAGAAATCACCTCCCCCCAGGGGGGATGGCCACACTGCAATCCCTTCTCCTCCATTCTCCTCTCAGGATCTTGGGCACGCACGCACACATGCCCAGCGTGAGTTTAAGCTGCTGGGTCCAGGACTTGAACCACAGTCGACTACATGGGAGTCCAGCAACATAATTACATTTACTGCTGGTCCCCCTCACTCATCTATTGATTGGGAGCCCAGTCCTGAGATGACTCTTAATGACATTAATCTCATTTATGAGGGCAGAGCCCTCATGACCTAGTTATCTCCTAAAGGTCTGACCTCACAACACTGTTTCATTGGGGATTCAGAATTCAACGCATTGGGACTAGCAGGTGGCCTTGTGGTTAAGGTACTGATCCCACATAGCCAACTCTGTGAGTTGGAGCTCTGGACACAGTGGCCTGAAAAACATGCTGGTCAGGTGTGCATGTGTACCCAAAATCCTGAGAGAAGAGAGGAGAACAAATTATGGCCAAACCCCCCGGGGAGGGGATGATTTCTCACTTTCTGTCTCTAGCTCTCTCTCTTCATCTCTCTCTGGTGAGTGCACGCACCCTATGGCAAGGAAAATCTGTAAGTAAAAGAGAATTCAGCACATGAACTTTGGGAAGTACATTCAAACTATAGCACACACCAACCAACCAGCATAGACCCCATTTAATGACAAAGTTCTGCCATATCTTGTTGGTTTAAACCATGTGCTAATTCCATTACATTTATTGTCCCCTGAATGAAATAGTATTTTGACAGAAGTTGAATTTATTTATTTTTTTAAGAGAGATTTTTGCTATAGGACATATGTGTTCACCAGACAGAAAGAGAGAGACCGAGAGACAGAAAATGAGAAATCACCCCTCGGGGAATAGTCACACTGCAGTACCTTCTCCAGTCTCCTCTTGGAATTTTGGACACAGACGCACATGTACCCAGTGTGAGTTTGAAGCCGCCAGGTCCTGGACTCGAACCATGCTCAGCCATGAAGGAGTCCGGCGATACAACCACTATGCCATCTCCTGATCCTCAGAAGTTGAATTTAAATTTTTTTTTTCAATTTAAATCTTAAGGATTGTTTTCTCTAACATGTCAGATTGTGTTAAGCAAGTATTAATATATATATTTCATAGCTTTTGGATCTTTTTTGGATCTTCTAGGCTTTTATTTCTAATTGGAAACGTTCTAATTATTTTAATATAGTCTTATTCCTCTTGGAAAATACAAGTATCCTGGGACCATCAGATGGTGTAATAGTTACATCGCTGGACTCCCATGTAGTCAACCATGGTTTGAGTGTTGGATCTGGTAGCTTAAAACTCACATTGGGTACACATGCATACGTGCCCAAAATCCTGAGAGAAGCTTGGAGAAGGGATTGTGATGTGGCCATCCCCCTTGGGTGATTTCTCGCTTTCTGTCTGTCTCCGGCGAGTACACATGCCCTGTAGCTAAAATCTCTCTCTCTCAAAAAAAACAAACAAAAAAGTATATGTATACATATTACCTAGTCTCTTCTTCTTTCAGTTGACAGGAAATTACATTTCTAATTTTAACTGTTAACTCCTTGTAGCTCATCAAACAACATAATGAAGATGTTTTAGAATATAAAAGAAGAAATGGGTTGGAGTAAAGTTTTGAACTACAAACACAGTAAGTATACAGCTTTATAGGTTGCCAGTTTTATCAATTATGTAAATTCATCTGACCTCTTTTTAAATAATGCGTTTTGATGGATTGATTTTTTTTTTAACTAGATTTATTCTTTTTAGCACTCATATTCTGTCTATGACAACTTTGTACATTGTTGCCTGGGCTCAATCATCTTTTACAATGTTTTTGTTTTTTTAAGAAGTATTTAACTTTTTTCTTTTTTAAAAGAATTATTTATCTAATTTTATTTATTCATCCATTTTTTTTAATTTGACTAGAGAGAGACAGAGAGAGAGTGTGAGAAAGCAAGCCACCACATCTGGGACTTGAACCGTGGTCAGCCGTGTGGGAGTGTTAAGCGCCTTAACCACCACACCACCTGCTGGTCCCTTATTTAACTTACTATTTATTTATTTCTTTTAATTTGACCAGAGATGGACAGAATGGGGGAGAAAGAGAGAGAGAGAAAGCAAGCTGCCAGGTCTGGGACTCAAACCTCAGTTAGCCATGTGTGAGTCCTGTACCTCAACCACCATGCTACCCTCAGCAGATTTTTTATCCTATGAGATCCCACTGCTTCTGCCACACCATGTGGTGGCCCAAGAGTGGTCTAATTTTTTACTTTTTTTTACATTTTTAAAATTTACGTTTAATCACTGTGTATCTTTATAGAGTACAAAATGGTTTTCCCACCATGAATACAGTGCATATGAGTCCAGTCAAAGATATTACCATATTTTGGGTCATCGGGGAAGTCATATTTTCCTACGCAAAAATGTCATGACTTTCCTGACGACCTAATACATTATCAGCAGGTAAGTTTTCATTTCTGTGTCTGTTAAGATATTTTCCCCTGATTCCCTCCTTCCCATCCTAAGAGTGGCCTAATTTTAATACTGTTTTTTTCTGGTTAATACTATAGTTTGATTTTTTTTTTCTTCATTATAGGTATACACCACATAGTGATACAGCAATTTCTCTGGATTCACCGACCTGTTGATTTGTAAATGTGAAAAAAAAAAAAAAAAGTTATTTGTGAATTACATCAAGTTAGCATTTGTGTTTGTATCATTTACATTAAAAAAATGAAAATACCTGTGTGTTCTTCAGATAATATATATTGTGTCATCTGGTAGAAAGTGTCAGTTCTAAGGCATGTTAGATGCATTTCAGTAGAGGAGGTACCATCTAGTAACAGAGTCAATGATAAAGACACATTGGTTAAAGAATAAATACAAACTTGTTTTGGAAATATATTCACAAATCATTGCTGAAGAATTTACCCCTTTCATCAACTATTTTTTTTTTGTAATTTGCAATTAGAGGAGTGTTCTTGCCAGACAGAGATGGGGTGGTAGGGTTGAGAAAGCACACCTCAGTGGGGATGACCACACTGCAATCCCTTGTCCTCCATTCTCCTCTCCCAAACCTTTTGGGCACGCATGCACCTAGCATGTTCCCCAAGGCGCCAGGGCTGGGTCTCAGACCACGCGGTCGGCCATGCAGGATCTAGACATCTCAGCCACCATTTTACTAGCTGGCCCTTTATCAACGTTTAATTTTTCTAATCAAAATATTTATCCTTTAGTATATCAAGGAAGCAGATTACTTTTTTACTCAAAATACAAAAGAGCCCAAATATTTTCTTCACAAGAGCGATTTTAGAAAATCAGAAAAAGTAAAGATGAATCCTGTTACCGGAGTTTCTTCTGACTTCATCTTTTTAAAGAATTTTTGCCAGAAGGTGCATGTACTTGCGGGAAAGGGGGCAGGGTGGTGAGAGAGTACCTGTCATGGAGAATAGTCACACTGCAATCCCTTCTCCATTTCCCTCTCCTTTCAGGATTTTGGGCACTCACCCATCCGCGCCTGGCATGTTTTTCCAGCCACCAGGTCCAGCCGCATTGTTACCATGTGGGATCCAGCTCATGTGATTATCAGGCCATGAGGTGGCCTGACTCCATTCTCTTGAACTTGAATTATTTTTATTTGGGTGACTTTTCAGTCACCATAGACCAACACAACATTTGTTCCTTTTTGCTAATTTGACTCTCACGCAATGATTTAGAAAATCTGATCATTTAAGAAGGTAGGGAGGTGTAATAGTAGGTTAAGATACGCTTCATCAGCGGCCAGCAGGTGGCGTTGTGATTGAAGGCGATGGACTCCCACATGGCCAACCTCTGTTTGAGTCTCGGACCTTTTGGCTTGCTAGCGCATGCTCGCTCTCTCTCTCTCTCTCTCTCTCTCTCTCTCTCTGTCCCTCTCTGGTCAAGTTTTAAAAAGTAAAAAATAATAAATAAAATAAAGTTAAATAAAATAATTCTGTTAAAAAAATAAAAATGTTTCATCTGTCTCTTATCAAAACCTTTTCTTGTCACTCTATTAAAACTTACTGACATGCCACTTCATTATTTTGTAATTTAAGCATTTAATGTACCACATCTTTAAAATCTTACTGTTTTTGTATTTATACTGAGGTTAAGGGGAAAAGTTCATGGCCTTATCATTGGTTTTGTGTGTCTGTTGGGCTCTGATCAATACATATGCTGGTAATCAGCCCAATATCTTTGGAAGTCACTTCTAAACATAACTGGGTTATATTTTATTTCAAATTATTTAATTCAAATTCAGTGGAGACCAGATCTTGATAATAGTGGCTATAACTTTGGTCCTTTGGAGTTTTAGCTGTTAGAAGTGGAAAAGTCCTTAGAGAGCATTTAGGATAATCTCTACAAATTAAAAAAAAAAATTGTTTCACCTCATGTTCATATTGATCTGTCAAAAAGAACTGGTTACCTTAAGAATTGAATAAAAAGAAAAACTTAACTTTTCCCAGTTTTCTGTGGAGTCTAGGGAACCAGTCTTTGAAAACTGCTTTTGGTTACATAGCACATAAGTTTTAAATAATATAATTAATATTGCAGGCTCTTGTCTTTTTTTTTTTTTTTAAGCAAACTACCAGGTTCAGGTCTCAAACCACAGCCAGCCACGTGGGAATCCAGTACCCCAACCACCATGCCACCTGCTGGCTCTTTTCTTTTTAAGATAGCTTTTTGCTACAGGGCACGTGTGCTTGCCAGAGACACAGAAAACGAAAAATCACCCCCCAGGGGGATGGCCACTCCGCAGTCCCTTCTCTTCCATTTTCCTCTTGGGATTTTGGGCAAGCATGCACACATGCC